TCATCCGGACACCCTGCTGGGTGGTCTCCCAGGACCACCTTGCTTAGAAGCTTCTGTGAGACCCAGTCTGAGCTGAGAAGGAGCACAAGGGGGTAAATCCCTAATATCTGCCCGGGTTCCTTACTTATCCCATGATCCCAAACCACCTGCTTCCCTCGGAGAACAGGTCACATGAGACAAGGACAGGAACAAAATAATTAGCGTTCTCTTTCTTAACAAGATGCTTGGGGATCGAGTCCCCAAGAGCCCCCAACTATAAATATCTGCCAGAGCCCTTGACTTTCTACTCATCAACCCCAGGCTGTGGGGGACATCTGAGTTCCTCCCAAGGACAACAAACTTCCAGGTTGTCAGTGAATGACTTCCTGTCCCTTTCTGGGGACTGAGCACTGACCTCTGGTTGCTCTGGTGGATAATGGAAAACGAAGGTCACTGAGAACCCTTCTTTGTTGATGCTGTTCTGGTGAACAAGGGAGGGAGGAACAGAACACTAAGACACGAAAGAGGTGGAAACTTAGCTCCCTTCTCAATGGAGGATAGAGGGGGAGGCCAATTGTAGACTGGATAGATTCTGTTAGGACAAATATGCAACAATATTTAAGATCTACAATTGCAGGACACTTGTGCAAGTGTGAGAGTCACTGAACAGAGCCCTCACTGAGGTGCTTCTCCAAATGTGTCCTCAGGCCAGCTCTATCATGTGATTTTTAAAAGCCCTCCAGTGGTGAGTGTAAGACCCTCAGAATGAGGAGTCTCCCAGTTTCGGCTGGTACCCCCAAGAACTCAATGGCCAGTCCAGTTGATGCAACATGCAAGAGGCTTTAATGAACAGGAAACATTTGCGCAAATGAGTCCCCTCAGCACGCAGGCTAGAGAGGAGCCTCATTCTCCATGCACAGGCGTTTTTAAAGGCAAAACCCACAAGCTTAGGGAGGGGGTGTGACCCTCTGTCCATTGAGTATGTGACTCTTTGAGGCTGGATGGTCTCCCTGTTAGGGTCAGCAGACCTTAGGGCCTAGGGGTGTGCTAATTAATCTTGTCTGGGCAAACTGGAGTTGCAGCTATCTCTTTGTTTCTTAAGGACCCTATTTATCACATACTGACTCATTGAAAGGAGGGGCAATGTGAATTCTTGGTATCTTGCTATCTTAGGGCCTTGTAAGGGGAAGTTAGCAAATTCCAGGGAACTGATAGTGGTCTGGGTTAGCTTTCCAGGTCAGACTGTCCTTCATTTCAAGTGTGTGTGTGGGGGGGGGGGGTCCTTAACTTTACTTTTTGTCTTTCAGTGACTATCCAAAAATTACTATCATAGGGCAATGCAAGTCACCCACTGACTTGCAAATGTGTTTGTGACAAGGAATCATGGTTTCACCAGGCAGCCCAGAAGAATCTGACATTGCATTGCAAAAACCCCAACTGTGTCTTGCAAAGCAACAATACAGGCTGGACCTGTCTTGGGACTGGGACAGTACCCTGATGACCTTCCTGAACTCCCTTCAGAGTCTCCTCCACCTCAAGGAGCCTGCTGCTCTTCATGGCAGCTGCCTTAACATCTCCACAGCTCCCACAACACCTTGCGGGTGGGGTCAGCATCATATCTGTTTATTTTCTTCCTCCTCCTCTGTGTTTTGTTCCTTCGTTTTGGTGGGGGTGTGGGGGTTGGGTGATGTTATCTTTTCTTTCTCTTTTTGGAGGCAGTGTAGCCCAGGACATCCTTGAGCCTCTACAGGGCCTGCAGGTGTGTGCCCTACCACTGAGCCATATCCATAACCAAACACTTCCTTTTGTACTTTTTGTAATTTTAATTTTTTCTTAATGAACTTACAAAGTAATAGGTTTTCATGTGGAATTTTCATACATGCCATTTTGGTTAGTTACTTCCCCTTCGCTCTCATTCCCTTACCCCTTGCCCACAGTACCCTTTTACCCTCAGTTCCCCTCTTGTTGATGTTACAACCCCTTCTCACTTAGAACCTTTGTTTCCTAGTTACAGTGGTTCCTTTCATTTATATATGTATTTGTGTGGCGTGTGTGTGTGTGTGTGTGCGTGTGTGTGTGGTGTGTCTGTGTGTGTATGGTGTCTGTGTCTGTGTGTAGGTAGGTATAGGTAGGTGAAGGACAACTTGTGAGAGTCAGTTCTCTCCCTCAACAATGTGGATTTCTGGGATTGAACTCAGGCTGTCAGACTTGGCAGCAAGCACCTTCACCCACTGAGCCATCTTGCCTACCCATATGGGCCTCTTTCTAGCTTCCTCAATTTTACCCACATCTCCTCCCATCGTATGTTCTATCATTTACATTCTAATCCCACCTCAACAATCCTTAAATCTTTCTGGAGAATAATTTTCTTTGGAAGGCAGGGAGATAAGAATTAGCAACACATAGGTCTGAATGCCTTTTCCCTGGCATTGAATTTGGAAGCCCTATATAGTGAAAGTAAACCTAGCTTTAGACTCAGGCCTGGGAATGCAGGCCTGCAATGCCAGCCAGGAGGCTGAGGCAGGAGGATTACCCATTTAATAACAGCCTGGGCTATAGAGTGAGTTCATGGCCAGCCTGGAAAAGTTAGTGAGATCATGTCGTAAAAGAAAGAAATTAAAGATGAGAGCGGGCAATGGAACTCAAGAGCAAAGCACTTGCCCAATTTGTGCAAGATTCTAGGTTCAACCCTTAGCACCACACACACTCACCACACATACACACACACACACACACACACACACTCACCACACATACACACATACACACATACACACATACTCACCACACATACACACACACTCACCACACACACACACTCACCATACCACATACACTCACACCACACACACACACACCACACATACACACTCACCACACATACACACACTCACCACACATACACACATACACACACACTCACCACATACACACACACATAGACACACACACACAGACACACACACACGAATGATTCCGTTCAGCCTCAACCACCTCAAAAGTTGTGAGAGCTATACACAAACTTTAAAGAAAGAGTGAGTTTCGGGGCAACAGCTCAGCAGGTAACGGTGCTTGCCATCAAGCCTGAGTGCCTGAGTTCAATTTCCAGAATCCTCCAGCCCCAAGAAGTAGACGAGGAGGACCAACTTCCCCTAGTCACCCTCTGACCTCACCATGCACACCATGGTGATGGGAGATGTCATTATGTATATATGTTTCTCATACTGGTTAATAAATAAAGCACTGTTGGCCAATAGGAAAGGAAGATAGGAGGGACTAGGAGACAAGGAGGAAATAGGAAGTAGTAAGGAGGAGTCAAGATGGAGAGTCTGGAGAGAACAGAACCGCGATCCCTCCGCTCTCGGTAAGACCACGTGGAAATACATAGAAATGGGTTAATAATTAAGACAGAGCTAGCCGATAAGAAACAAGTACCTGGCCAACAGCATAATATCAAATACAGAGTCTCTGTACATTATTTGGGGCTGGCGGCATGGCGGCAGGACAAGACCAGGCGGCGGCGGGCGGAAAAACCATACTTCTTACAAATGGCGCCCAACGTGGCTATAAGAACTTACACTTAAAATTTAACAAAAGCTTAAAAAAGGGTTTTAAAAACATGACCACAGCAACTCTTATAAAGAAAACATTTAACTGGGGCTGGTTCAGAGGTTTGGTGTAGTCACAAGTTTTTCTTCTGTCCTGCTCTATCCAGAGGGATTGCTTTCTCTCCTGCCCACCAGTTCCCGAATAACCACTCCGAGGTTTAATATTAATTACAAACTGTTTGGCCTATTAGTTTAGGCTTACTTTTAACTAGTTCTTACAACTTAAATTAACCCATTTTTATTATTCTATATTTTACCATGTGGTCGTGGTGTTACCTCGTTTTCTGAATGTCTTATTTCTTTGGTGGTTGGCTGGTGTCTCTCAGACCCCGACCTACTTCTCCTGTATCTCTACTTGAATTTCCCACTCTCTCTTTACTACGTGGCTATTGTCCAAATCAGCCTCTTTATTAGCCAGTGGTAATAAAACATATTCACAGCATACAGAGAGACATCCCACATCAGTCTAGTCCATTATCAGTGTGTAGTTTGAATGTAATTGGCCCCCATAAGCTCATTGGGAGTGGCATTATTTAGGTGTGGCTTTGTTGGAGGAACTCTGTCACTGTAGGAGTGTCAGATCTATGCTCAAAATACTCCCAGTATCTCAGTTCACTTTGTGTTGCCTGCAGATCAAGATGTAGAACTCTCAGCTCCTTCTCCAGCACCATGTCTGCCTGTGTGCTGCCATGTCTCACAATAATGTTAATGGGCTGAACCTCTGAACTGTAAGCCACTCAATTAGATTTTTTTTTTCCTTTATAAGAGTTGCCATAGCCATGGTGTCTCTTCACAGCAATAGACATCCTAAGACAGTCAGGATGGTGGGAAGCATGGCCGTGTGCAGGCAGACATGGTACTAGAGAAGGAGCTAATGATTCTACATCTCCATCAGCAGGCAACAGGGAAAGAGAGACACTGAGCCTGGCTTGAGCATTGGAAACCCTCAAGACCATTCCAAGTGCACACTTCCTCCAACAGAGCCCCACCTACTCCAACAAAGCCACACCTCCTAATCCCTCTCAATTAACACCACTCCCTAATGACCAAGCATTCAAATATAGGAGCCTTGGGGGTGGGGCATTCTTATTAAACCAGAACAGTACTTTTCACTAGTGTTTTGTTTTTCAAGACAGTTTCCGTGTAGCCCTGGCTGTGCTGGAACTGGTTGGGTAGACCAGGCTAGCCTCAAACTCAGAGATCTGTCTGCCTCTTCCTCCTCAGTGCTGGGATTAAAGGCATGTGCCTGGCTGAGTAGCAGGTACTTTTAATAAATATCTGTCTAGCCTTAAAATTATTTCTTTTTGGCAGAAAGATAAAAGGGGAGGAGGAAGAGAGTGAGAGAGGTCTGGGGAAAGAAATAAAAGGAGGGAAGTGGGCTCGTGGACCAGTGAGACCCAGAAGAGGCCCGGGAGATCGCGGAAGGCTGTTCCGCGGCTGTCATCATGCCACAAAATGAATATATTGAATTACACCACAAACGCTATGGGTATCGTTTGGATTACCATGAGAAAAAGAGAAAGAAAGAAAGCCGGGAGGCCCACGAACGTTCAAAGAAGGCCAAAAAAATGATTGGCCTGAAGGCTAAGCTCTACCATAAACAGCGCCATGCTGAGAAAATACAAATGAAGACTATTAAGATGCATGAAAAGAGAAACACCAAACAAAAGGATGATGAGAAGACCCCACAAGGAGCAGTACCCGCCTATCTGCTGGACAGAGAGGGACAGTCTAGAGCAAAAGTACTCTCCAACATGATTAAGCAGAAACGAAAAGAGAAGGCGGGAAAATGGAAAGTCCCTCTACCCAAAGTCCGTGCCCAAGGAGAAACAGAAGTATTGAAAGTTATTCGAACAGGAAAAAGAAAAAAGAAGGCATGGAAGAGGATGGTTACTAAAGTCTGCTTTGTTGGTGATGGCTTTACAAGAAAACCACCTAAATATGAAAGGTTCATTAGGCCAATGGGCCTGCGCTTCAAAAAAGCCCATGTCACACATCCTGAGCTGAAAGCTACTTTTTGCCTGCCAATATTTGGTGTGAAAAAGAACCCATCATCCCCATTATATACAACTCTGGGTGTAATCACCAAAGGCACGGTTGTTGAAGTGAATATGAATGAATTGGGCCTGGTGACACAAGGAGGCAAGGTTATCTGGGGAAAGTATGCCCAAGTTACTAACAATCCTGAAAATGATGGGTGCATAAATGCTGTCTTGCTGGTTTGATAGTGACTTCCACTGAAGACTACACATCCTTTGGAAAACATCACTGTGATCTTTCTGAATATTACCAAGCTGCCTTACCCATAATTGTAAAGAAAAAGAAAAAGAAAAACTGCTCAGTTTTACAGTTAGTCTTTAGTTTGGGGCCTAAGACTTATGTTTTGATGTGACTGAGTAGCAAGCATACAAATAGATGTCTGTGAACTAGGAAGTGTATGCAGCAATGGAAAAGCCACCAGTATAGTTTTAAGTACCCGTAAGGTTACTGACCACTTATTTATTGGGTGGGCTAGGAAATTTAGATCTGTTCAAATACATTTCCATCTCATTGCCATTAATCCTAAACAATGGAGCATTTTAAGCACAGGTTTAAATTTATAAAATATTACATTAAAAGAATTATACTGAAAATTCAAAAAAAAAAAAAAAGAAAGAAAAGGAGATGCCAGTTTCCTTTTACTGCAGATGTTTTGAGTTGAGATTTGATGCATGTTAGTCAGCTTTCAGATACTGTCCCAAGATGCCTGAGATAATCAACATAAAAGAAGGGAAGGTTCATTTTGGTGCAGGGTTTCAGAGGTTTGGTCTGTTGTCAGTTGGCCTGTTATACTACCATAGAAGAGCATGGTGGATATCTATTCAATGGTCAGATGGCCACACAAAAGGAATGCTAGGAATCAAACTCAGGTCCTCTACAAGAACAGCAAATCCTCTCAAATGCTAGGCCATCTCTCCTGCCCCAGAAACAGGCTAGCCATCTGAGCTTTTACCAAATGGGTATTTGTGGAACTTTCCAGAACTGATCTATAGGCAAAGGTCACCCACCTTAGACAACATCCAGATTGATCATGTACCTCAGTTAGGGATTTGAGACACTAATTTCCTCAGACTTGGACATCTTGGAGAAACAAAACCCACTGAAAATGGCTTAAAGAAATTCCCCCAAGCAGTAGATACATTTTCACAGAACTTCAAAGGTTTCCACAGAGCTAGAGCCCCATCTCTGACTCCAGCTCTATGTCGCTCCCATTACCTTCTGTTCCAATAGTCACAAGCTCTCCATAGAACTAAAAAACCAAACAGTCTTGGAATTCCATCTCATGGGACTCTCAGAGAATCCAGACCTGCAGCCCATCCTCTTTGGACTCTTTCTGTCCATGTATCTGATCACTGTCCTTGGGAACCTGCTCATCATCCTGGCCATCATCTCAGACTCTCACCTGCACACACCCATGTACTTCTTCCTCTGCAACCTATTCCTCGTTGACATCTTTTTCTCCTCCACCACTGTCCCCAAGATGCTGGTGAACATCCAGACCTAGAGCACAGCCATCCCTTTCACGGGCTGCCTTGCCCAAATGTATGCTTTCCACCTCTTTGGAACTATGGATAGCTTCCTCCTGGCAGTGATGCCATTGACCGGCTCGTGGCTATTGCCTACCCACTGCGCTACTCAGTGATCATGAGCCCACATACCTGTGCACTACTGGTGGGTAGTCCATAGGTGGTCACTAATCTCCAGTCCCTGGTACACACTTGCCTCATGGCCCAACTGACATTCTGTGCAGGGTCAGAAATCCCTCACTTCTTCTGTGACCTCATGCCCCTCTTGAAACTCTCCTGCTCAGACACACACACCAATGAGCTGGTCGCCTCCACTTTCAGCATCATCATGGGCCTCAGCCCACTGTCCTGCATCCTAGTCTCCTACATCTGCATTTTCAGGGCAGTCTTCCAGATCCCTTCTGCTCAGGGCAAGTGGAAAGCCTTCTCTACTTGTGGCTCACACCTCACTGTGGTATCACTGTTCTATGAGACCATCTTTTCTGTGTACTTACAGCCAGCATCCCCCACCTCCTCCCAAAAAGACAAGATGGCTGCATTAATGTGTGGGGTGATCATCCCTACATTGAACCCCTTTATCTACAGCCTAAGGAACAAGGACATGAAGGCAGCCCTGAGGAAGCTTGGCAGCAAAGCTGTCTCATCCCAGCCATAGGGCAGAACAGAAACAAGGTGCCCACAGTGTTCTGGACCATTGTTAGGTGCTTAAGATAGAGGAACTAACCCTAGTCCTGTTCTGAAGTTGTGCAAAGTCTAGCATAGAATACAGCCACTTAATAACACCTTGAAGTACGATGTAGTCAGTGTGTCATAAAGAAATGACCCTTCTGGAGAGATGGCTCAGAAGTTAAGAAAACTCAGTATTGTGCTCTTACAAGGACCCCAAGTTCAGTGTCTCAACCTCCTGAGTGTTGGGATGTGCAACATCCAAATGGGGAAGTGTCAGCACTAGAAAACCTCTATGGATCATTTGGGAAGAATTAGTGACTTGTAGATTATGCCTAAATATGTCCGGTTCATGGCCCATCCTATATCCAGGAAAAACACAGGAAGGATTAAAATTTCTTTTGTGAACGATGCCCAAATTCCCAAATATTGTGTATAAATGTTTGTTTTCATTTAATTGGACTTTGTTATATAAAATTAAATTTAAAAAAAAGAGAAAAAAACAAAAGATATTAAAAAAAATTTCTTTTGTGGGCCTTGGCCTCACCCCCACCAGGAAAGGTAAGTACCTGGGCCCTTGCCCTCCCCCAGCCCTCTAACCCCTAGGCCCTAATCTCTGGAAGCAAATTGTGCTCCTTACTCCTGCCCACTGGGGCAGCCTCCTCATACCCCAAACCATCCAGGACTGCATCTGACGCCATTAAAGCCTTGGCCATGCCCCCACCAGGAGAGGTAAGTACTGGGTGACCCCCAACCCTACCCCTGGCTGGAGGCCCTTAACCTCTAGGCCCTAATTGCCAGAGCACTTGCCCCATCCTGCCCACTGAAGCACCAGAGACCTGGGGGCAGCCTCTCAACATGGCACCTCATCTGCCTCCATCAGACCCTTGGCCCCACCCCCACCTGGTAGAGGTGAGTGCCAGAGCCCCACTCCTATATCCTCCCCCACATACACACCCCTAATCCCTAAATCCTAATCATTAGGGGCATATTGCTTTTCTCATCCCAGCCCACTGAAGCCCCTGAGACTTGGGGACAGCCTCAACACACCCAAATCATCCAGCATCTGTCTCCATTGGAACCTTGGTCCTGCCCCCCCTTCCTGGAGAGGTAGAGGAACCACCTAAGCCACAGGCCCCACCTGCACCCACTAAAGAAAAAGATGTGTAGACATCAGTATGAAAACACATTCAACAACATAAAGAGTAACATGACACCGCCAGAGACTAGGGGTTCTACACCAGCAAGACATGTGCAGCTCAGATGAAGCAGAAGAAAATGACCTTAAAAATAACTATAGGAAGATTATAGAGGCCCTTAAAGAGGAAATAAAAAAACTCCCTTAAAGAAATGGAGAAAAAGACAAACAAAAATGGAAAAAATAGAGGAAAAGACAAACAAAAAAAAAGTGCAAGAAATCAACAAATCTCTTAAAGAAAGCAAGGAAAGCCAAGAAAAAAATCAAACAGGTGAAGAAAACAATTGAAACAGTTCAAGACACAAAAACTGAAATAGAGGCAATAAAGAGAACACAAACCAAGGGAACTCCAGAAATGGAAAATCTGGATAAACGATCAGGAACTACAGACACAAGCATAAACAACAAAATACAAGAGATGGAAGACAGAATCTCGGGTGTTAAAGATATATCAGAGGAAAGAGATTTATCCTTCAAAGACAATGTTAAATCCAACAAATTCTTAGAACAAAATATCCAGGAAATCTGGGACACCCAGAAAAGACCAAACCTAAGAATAATAGGGATAGAAAAAGGAAAAGAAGTCCAGCTCAAAGGCACAGAAAACATATTCAACAAAATCATAGAAGAAAACTTTCCCAACCTAAAGAAGGAAATGCCTATAAAAGTAACAAAAGCTTTAAAAAAAAAAAAAAAAAAAAAAGTCCCTTAGCCACATAATAATCAAAACATTAAACATACAGAATAAACAAAGAATATTAAGAGCTGCAAAGGAAAAAAAACAAGTAACATATAATGGTAGACTTATCAGAATTACACCTGACTTCTCAATAGAAATCTGAAAGCCAGAAGGTCCTGGATGGATGTAACATGAAAAATAAATGATCCAGAGACTGATATTGGGGTTCAAGCTGAAGGTAAGAGAAGCAAAGCAGTCAGCCACTAGCTCTCACCTGTAGCTCAGGCAGGCTGAAAAAGCTGATCCCCACACAAGCTTTCCACCAAGTCTCAAATTGCTGCCTCTCCTCAGTGTGGCTGTAGAACAAATGCCTCATACTGACCTTGCTTCTATCTTATATACATCCCTAATGTTGGGATTAAAGGTGTGAGTTAGAATTCCCTTTTAGATTGATTCACTCTTATGTAGATCTTGGTGGTCTTGGACTCACAGAGATGGGTCTATCTCTTAATCCTGAGTCCTAGGAGGTGTTACCACCACCTCCTAGTTTCTGACTGCTGAGATTAAAGGGTGTGCTTGGCTCCTATGGCTTGTAGCTTCCTTTGCTTTTCTGATTCCTCAGTCAAACTTTAATAAATCATAATTAATATATCACTACAGATAGATGTTCTACAGACACTAAGAGACCATGGATGCCAGCCCAGACTACTGTACCCAGCAAAGCTCTTAATCACTATATTTGGAGAAAATAAGATATTTCATGACAAAACCGGGTTTAAGTAATATATATTCACAAATCCAGCCCTACAGAAAGTACTAGAAGGAAAACTCCAACACAAGGAAGTTAGCTACAACCAAAAACACATAGGCAATAGATAATCACACATTGCCAACCCCCCCCCACAAAAAGGGGGAAACACAAACACACAAAACCAACAACAACAAATCCAAAAATAACAAAAATCAACAACCAATGGTCTTTAATATCTTTTAATATCAACAGTCTCAATTCTCCTATTTAAAAAAAACAGAGGCAAACAGAATGAATACAAAGACAGAATCCATCCTTCTGCTGCATACAAGGAACAGACTTCAACTACAAAGACAGACATTACCTCAGAGTACAAGGTTAGGAAAAATTTTTCCAATCAAATGGACCTAAGAAACAATCTGGTATAGCTATCCTAATATCTAACAAATTAGACTTCAAACAAAAATTAATCAAAGGAGATGATGAAGAGCAGTTCATATTCATCACAGGAAAAACCCATCAAGATGAAGCTTCAATTCTGAACCTATACCCCAAAGACAAGGGCACCCACATTGTAAAACAGACATTACTTAAACTTAAATCACCTTGCTGTAGAGATAGCTTAGCAGAGATAAGAGCACTGGCTGTTCTTCTTTTGGTTCAATTCCCAGCACCCACATTACAGCTCACACATGTCTGTAACTCCAAGATCTGACACCCTTACATAGACATCCATGCAGGCAAAATACCAATGCAAAAGAAATAAAGTAAATTATTAAAGAAAAACTTAAATCACACATCAAAACCCCACATACTAATAGTAGGAGACTTCAAGACTCCACTGTCACCACTGGACAGGACTACCAGACAGAAACTTAACAGAGAAATAAACGAACTAATAGAAGTTGGCTTTAACAGACATCTATAGAACATTCCATGTAAACACACACACACACACAAAAATATTTTCTTCTCAGCACTCCATGGAACCTTCTCTAAAATCAGCCACATACTTAGTAACAAAAAGGAAACTTCAACAGATACAAAAAAAATTGGAATAATCCCCTGTATCTTATCAGATCACCATAGTTTAAAAGTTAGAACTCAACAACAACACAAACTGCAGAAAGCATACAAACTCGTGGAAATTGAACAGTATTCAATTACATCATCCCTGAGAAAAGGAAGAACTAAAGAAAGAAATTAAAGACTTCTAGAATGCAATGAAAATGAATGCACAACAACCAAACTTATGGGACACTTTGAAAGCAGTGCTAAGAGGAAAGTTCATAGCACTAAGTGCCTACATAAAGAAACTGGAGAACTCCACACTAATGACTTTAACAGCACACCTGAAAGCTATAGAACAAAAAGAAGCAAACTCACCCAGGTGGATAAGACTCCAGCAAATAATCAAATTGAGGGCTGAAATCAATGAAATAGAAACAAATAAACAATACAAAGAATCAACAAGACAAAAAGTTGGTTCCTCCAGAAAATCAACAAGATAGACAAACCTTTACCCAAACCAACCAAAAGGCAGAGAGAGAATATCCAAATTAACACAATCAGAAATGAAAAGAGGAATATAACAAATGACACTGAGGAAATTCAGATGATCATCAAGTCATACTTCAAAAACCTGTACTTTACAAAATTGGAAATTTTAAAGGAAATGGACAATTTTTTGGATAGGTATCACACCCCCAAAATTAAAAGAAGAGCAGATAAACAATTTAAATAGACCTATAACACCTAATGAAATAGAAGTAATTATCAAAAGTCTCTTAACCAAAAGAAGCCCAGGCCCAGATGGTTTCAGTACAGAATTCTACCAGAAATTCAAAGAAGAGCTAATGACAATACTCCTCAAAATGTTCCACACAATAGAAGCAGAAGGCTCATTTCCAAGTCTTTTTATGAGGTTACAATTACCTTGATACCCAAAACACACAATGACACAACTAAGATAGAACTACAGATCAATCTCCCTTATGAACATTGATGCAAAAATGCTAAATACAAGCAAATCAAATCCAAGAATACATTACAAAAATCATCCACCATGATCAAGTAGGCTTCATCCCAGGGATACAAGGATGGTTCAACATACAAAAATCCATCAATGTATCTACCACATAAACAACCTAAAAAAGAAAAAACACATGATCATCTCACTAGATGCTGAAAAAGCCGTAAAGAAAATTCAACTTCCCATCATGATAAAGGTCTTGGAGAGATCAGGGATAACAGGAACATACCTAAACATAATAAAGGCAATAGACAGCAAACTGATAGCCAACATCAACTAAATGGAGAGAAACTCAATGTGATTCCTCTAAAATCAGGAACAAGGAAAGA